GGGACTAACCCTCGAGGTACTGTCGGGCGCAAAGCGGGGACCTCTCCCAACAAAGTCTGCTCTATTCGCAAGCGCCTGAGAGACGCAGAATCTTTGAGTTGTCCGAAATTACCTGCTTTCCAACCCAAAAATTATAAAATAAGAATACAATGCGTACACATATTATTGTCTGACAAAAAAGGAAGCAATAGTATTTCAATATTAATTGTAAGTAGAGATGATAAAAGACTGAAAGTAAGTTGGTGCGTAAAGCTAAATGACATGCAAGGTTGTTATATAATGTGAACTTGAATCCGAGATTATGGAGCTTTTTGGTTTGAAATTTCATCAACATATCTCTTCACGTTCAATCCAAGATTATAGAGGATTCCTCTTCCAACCCAGAAATCAACATGGCTATACAAGAGCACAGGCCACAGAAATCATTCCTTCTACTGGAGACCAAGTCAAAACTTATTTTTTTTATTTTTTTATTTTTTTATTTTTTTGTGAGATGGACCAAGTCAATACTCACCACAAAATCCAAGTTGGAAACCAACATGTAGACTGTAGTCGGGCCCACTAGACAGACTTCAAAGTCAACAAGTCAATGCATAAAGCACCGCAATAAAATCATGGTTACAACCGAGTTGGGCAACATATGCAACTCTATAAAATATTTTGACAGGCCTTAAAATCCAAATTGTTAGTACTGGCTCTCAATCACGTGGATTTTAGTATAAATTTATAGGTGAAATTACTTCCATATTTAAAAGCATAGTAAGTAACGTATTATCTAACCAAAAAAAAGAAGAAGAAGGAATATAGAGTATTTCAATATTAATTATTCAAAATTTTAAAAGTATAGTTTTTTTACTTAATAATATGTGCAAAGATATGTGTATAATACATAAAGTTTACTTGTATTATCTAAAAGATTTGTAAAAAGATACATATATTAAATGTGAATAATTTGTAAATATGTGTATAATAGAATCACTATATGCAAACTTCCTAACTAAATTTCAAAGGATTATCCACACCACTAAGGAGATCATCACGTTAATTTTTTGGAAAATGAAATTCTCAATCTATAGATTACGCGTCATATGAAATGAATATGATTACCATTAACAAGTCTTTAACTTGGTTTTTTACTGTTTTTTTCTTTTGATAGTTATTAGGCTGTGCCCCTTATAGATACCTTACCTAATTGAAAAAAAGGTTAATTGAAGAAAGTTAGAAAAGTAAAAAATAAATAAAGAGGTCCGATGTCATATAATTGACCACTTTTCCTTTTTGGTTAGGGTGAAGCATATAATTGAAAGTAGGTTGGTAGGTAAAACTAAACGATATGCAAGGTTGTTATTGAAGGAAGTTGAGATTCCGCCTCAAAATCAACTGGCGGTGGAGGGAGTAGCCCAACTCCTTATAAACTCAAGTTTGATCCCTTAACTTTTCAACGTGGGACAAATACTCTCAATAGTTATATAATATAAGGAGCATTATGTGAACTTAAATTCAAGATTATGGAGCTCTTTGGTTCAAAATTTCCTCAGCATCTTCGTGTCTGAGGTCGGACCAAACATCCAATCCAAGATTATGGAGAATTCCTCTTCCAACCCAAAAATCAACATGAACATATATGTGCATATGATATACTGGGAATCCTAGACCACAAAATTCATCTGCTTTCTTCGACTGAGCCATGAGCTATGACTAATTGATCTTGGCCGAGTCAGTACTCATCCAAAAATCCAAGTAGGTAGGAAACCGCGTAAACTGTAGCCGGGCCACTACACAAGATAGGGCAAGACTTTAATGTCAACAATTCAATCCATAAAACAACATCACATTCACATCACAATTTCCACATAGTCTTTCAATCCGACATATCAATATCCCATTGCACAAAAAAAAAAAAAAAAAAGGGTAGAGTTTGCTTTTTTTGGTTGTTAAATATTTAAAAATTCGAGTTTAATTGGGTTTAACATGGAATAAAATGCACTGAGAATTTCTGGATTAAAATCTGGTGGTTGGGAAATAAGCAAAAGTACTGCATGCATGATTCAAGTTGATATTGCACTAGGGCTTGTTTGGGAGTGCTTTTGGAGAAGCGAAAAGCGCTTCTAAATGGGTGAAAGCGTTTCTGTCTTTTAAAAATTGTGTTTGGCAAAAATTGCAGAAGCGCTTTGGGTGAGATTCAAAAGCACTTGGAGTGGTTTTGGGAGAAGCACTTGGCTCCCTTTAATAAAACTTTTAAAATACCAAAAATACCCATATTTAATTTTTTAAAATACCAAAATACCGTTTCTTTATTTTTTTTTCTCTCTTTTTCTCTCATATTAAAACCCAAAAAAACCAACAGACGGGATATAAGAGTATGCCAAGGCTGCAGTACCAAGAGTTAAGGCAGCAGCAATGGAGCCCTAGACCCACCTCTGTCTTCTTTCCCTTCTCTCCTTGTCACGCCGTGCCAGATCTACATGAAAACAAACAGAAAAACATACATGAGCTAATAACGGGAGGCATATCCAACAGGACCTAAACTACAGTTGGAAACAGAGAACTTGCACTAATGCACATTGAGTAGGGTATGGATGCACAGGTGCATGGTAGTCAATACATTCAAACCCACTAATTAATGAAACAATACATTCAAACCCACTAATTAATGAAACAATACATTCAAACCTACAGAGGGTTACAAGTTAAGCATGGGGAAAATTACAAAGTTCAACTGAAGCGGACCTTGTGAAGGATTATGATTTAAAATTATACTTGGTGAAGTTCATACTTTTTTAAGTCGTGTTTTTATTTTAGGATCCTGTGAATTTTTATTTCCTATGTTTATTATAATATTTTGGAATTCTTTAAATTTGTTTTAAGTACTTTTAAAAGCGTTTTTACTGTGTCAGCCAAACACTCAACAAAATATCAAAAGCTCTTTTATGTAGTGTAAAAGCACTTTTAAATGTGACATCCAAACGACAAACTATTTAATTTAAACAATAATGATAAAATTGACATAATCCTAAGATTGATGCTTAAAAGTTGCTTTTTAAGATCAAATATATATAAGTATAATCATGAAAGATATGATTACTCACTCTATTATTTGTATGATTTATTCAATTCAAAAAAGAAAAGAAAAGAAAGACCTTTAAGTCAACAAGTCAAGCCAACCATGATTCTCGTGGAGGCCTTTTTGCAGGAACATCATTATTTTTGTTCTATCCCATTTTCCTGGTTACTACTACAAGATTATATTGGTAGAAGACTTCAAAGTCAAGCCATCAGCGACGACAAAGATTTAATCTCATCAAAGCTAAGTGGTGTCCTTTTCCAATTCTATTCTACCATGCATATAATTACATATAATGATATGTATATATTAAAGACAGCACAACCTTTCTTTCTCATCAAAACTTTCCCTCATCAGCTAGCGTCTCTCAAAGTAAAAGGTTTTTCCAAAATGAAAACTTTGCTGCATTACTTGTTCCTCCTCTGCTTCATTATCCTCCTCCCTGCAGTTCATAGCCAATGTATTAAAGACCAGCAACAATCGTTACTCCATTTGAAGAAAAGCCTTCAATTTGATCCACCTTCATGGCGAACCCCTATTTAATCTCATCAAGTGGTGTCCTTTTCCAATTCTATTCTACCATGCATATAATGATATGTATATATTAAAGACAGCACAACCTTTCTTTCTCATCAAAACTTTCCCTCATCAGCTAGCGTCTCTCAAAGTAAAAGGTTTTTCCAAAATGAAAACTTTGCTGCATTACTTGTTCCTCCTCTGCTTCATTATCCTCCTCCCTGCAGTTCATAGCCAATGTATTAAAGACCAGCAACAATCGTTACTCCATTTGAAGAAAAGCCTTCAATTTGATCAACCTTCATGGCGAACCCCGCTCATATCTTGGAATTCAAGCACCGACTGTTGTTCTTGGGGTGGTGTTAATTGCACTAGCAATGGGCATGTTGTTGGTCTTGACCTTAGCTCTGAATCTATCTCCGATCCAATTCCAGGATCCTTTGCCAACTTTCCAAACCTGAGGGAGTTGGACTTGCGTGGGAACTACATCTCTTATATTCCAGGTTCCTTTGCCAACTTTTCAAACTTGAGGGTGTTGCACTTGAGCAGCAACAGCATCTCCGGTCCAATTCCAGGATCCTTTGCCAACTTTTCAAACCTGAGGGTGTTGGACTTGAGCTCGAACAACATCTCCGGTCCAATTCCAGGATCCTTTGCCAACTTTCCAAACCTGAGGGAGTTGTACTTGAGTAGGAACCACATGTCTTATCTAATTCCAGGTTCCTGTGCCAACTTTTCAAACTTGAGGGTGTTGGACTTGAGCTTGAACCACATCTCTAGTCTAATTCCAGGACCCTTTGCCAACTTTCCAAACCTGAGGGAGTTGGACTTGAATTGGAACGACATCTCCGGTCTATTTCCAGGATCCTTTGCCAACTTTCCAAACCTGAGGGAGTTGGACTTGAGTCAGAACCAAATCTCTGATCTAATTCCAGGTTCCTTTGCCAACTTTTCAAACCTGAGGGTGTTGGACCTGAGCTTGAACAGCATCTCCGGTCCAATTCCAGGTTCCTTTGCCAACTTTCCAAACCTGAGGGAGTTGGACTTGAGTTTGAACCACATCTCTAATCTAATTCCAGGTTCCTTTGCCAACTTTTCAAACCTAAGGGTGTTGGACTTGAGGTCGAACAACATCTCCGGTCCAATTCCAGGATCCTTTGCCAACTTTCCAAACCTGAGGGACTTGGACTTGAGTAGGAACCCCATCTCCGATCCAATTCCAGGATTCTTTGCCAATTTTTCAAAGTTGACTTCCTTGAGTCTCAGTAATTGTCAGTTGAATGGAACATTTCCCAAAGAGATCTTTCAGGTACCTACTCTACAAACTATTGACCTTTCGGATAATTTTAAACTTGGTGGTTCCTTGCCAGAATTCCCCAAGAATAATGGATCTCTTCAATTGTTGATTCTACGCCAGACAAACTTTTCAGGGTCACTGCCTGAATCAATTGGCAATCTCAAAATGTTGTCTAGGATAGATCTTTTCAAATGCAATTTCACTGGATCAATCCCGTCGTCGCTCTTTTCTCTTCCCTTATTGTCAAAAATAAACCTTTCCTACAATCAATTCTCTGGTGAACTTGTATTTTCTAATGTCTCTTCCAACTTATATACCCTTGATTTAAGCTTCAACCATTTGGAAGGACAAATACCGGTTTCTATATTTAATTTTCGAGGCCTTCAATCACTTCTTCTTTCTTCCAACAATTTCAATGCCTTTCCGTTCAATGGCCCTCAACAGCTGAAAAATCTTATGAACATTGACCTTTCGTACAATAGCTTGCTGAGTTTATACAATGGTACTAATTCCTCATATTCCTCATTTCCTGAAATTATTTCATTGAATTTGGCTGCTAACAAATTGAGAACAATCCCATATTTCTTGAGAAATCAATCCACATTATCCAGTTTGAGCCTTTCAGAAAACCATATCCAGGGCAAGATACCCCATTGGATTTGGAGTTTCAATCAACTTGATTCCCTAAATCTTTCTTGTAACTCCTTGGTTACTCTGGAACCTCCTTTATATATTTCTACGGTGAAAACTGTTGACCTTCATTCAAATCAACTTCAGGGACAAATCCCCACTTTCCTACCATTTGCCAAGTATTTGGATTACTCAAGAAATAATTTCGGCTCTATACCATCAAATATTGGTGATGTCCTCACAAACACACTGTTCTTCTCTCTTTCGAGCAATAACTTGCATGGGTTCATTCCAACATCAATATGCAATGCCCCAAATATTCAGATTCTTGATATGTCTAATAATTCTCTCAGTGGCATGATTCCCCAATGCTTGACTGCAATACGCGATATCAGTGTACTTAACTTAGAGAGAAACAAACTCACTGGAACTATTTCTAATGTTGAAGTTTCTAAAGATAGTTCATTGGAAATTCTAGAGATCGGTAGAAATCAGTTACGTGGCCAGGTTCCAAAATCTCTAGCTAAATGCACTGAGTTGAAGGTTTTAAACATGGGAAACAATAATATAACAGATAGCTTCCCATGCTTGTTGAAGAGCATTTCCACCTTGCGTGTCCTTGTTTTGCGGTCCAACAACTTTTATGGAGGTATTGAATGTCTCAACACCAATGGCACCTGGCCAGGGCTTCAAATCATAGACCTAGCTCACAATAATTTCAGTGGTGAAATACAGGGAATACTTTGGAGAACATGGCAGAAAATGATGGTTACCGAATTTGGTTTCCCATTGACAATCAAAGGCCACAAGCTTAATTCTCCAACGGGCATGGACAACCATCCAACGCAAATTTCCCGTGAGCCAACGGAAGTTTTTTTGGGCTTTGAGTATGGTATAAGTATAACAGTTACCAACAAAGGTTCAGAGATGAATCTGGTAAAGATTCTTTCTATCTTCACCTTGATTGACTTCTCATGCAACAATTTCAGTGGACCAATACCTAAGGAAATGGGAGAATTGAAATCACTACATGCCCTTAACTTGTCCAGAAATGCTTTCACAGGCGAAATCCCATCCTCATTTGGTAACATGAGCGCACTCGAGTGCTTGGACCTGTCACAGAACAAGCTGACCGGGCACATTCCACCACAGTTGGGAAAACTTACTTTCCTTTCGTTCTTGAATCTCTCAAATAATCAACTAGTCGGCAGGATCCCAACCAGCACTCAGTTTTCAACATTTCCAAAAGCCTCATTTACAGGAAATAAAGGACTATGGGGGCCTCCTTTGACAGTGGATAACAAAGCAGGATTGTCACCACCACCAACAGTGAATGGAAGGCCTCCAAATTCTGGACATCATCATGAGGTTAATTGGGATCTTATCAGTGTCGAAATTGGATTTACATTTGGCTTTGGAGTTGCCATTGGGTCACTTGTGTTGTGCAACAGATGGAGTAAGTGGTATTACAGAGCTGTGTGCAACATCCTTCTCAAGATATTTCCTCAGTTGAAGGAAAGAATTGGTATATTCATCTAAGACATGTTCACATAAATCAAAGGTGGTGGAGACGTTGAATTGATTAGGAGGAACAATGCAAGTTTGGACTCCTTGTTGTGCTTAGGGTATTTTAAGATCCAAGAAATAAGAATTGTGTCTGTCTTTCTAGTTTCATATTTTAATTTAATTATGCTCTCTTTTTTTTGTTGGTTAAGAGAGTCTAGTTAGGCGTGGAATATCTAGTGTGTATCTTTTATATTTTATTTTATATTTGTGGAATGTAGCAAATATCACAAAAATTATGATTGTATGACTCTGGCAAGCCAGCAACAATCAGGGAGGGCTTTTCCAATTCTACCATATTTATCATATTTATAACACGAGACTAAATTGATCGGTATAGGTAAAAATATAGGAATTATTTTAACATTTAAGTTTTAAATATCAATAATACTATAGGCACCAATTAGTGTATCAACTTTTACATACCGATGTGGCATATGAGATAGACTGGCATATCATGTGCCACATCATCTCTTTTAATTTTATTTAATTTTATCATCTTCTAAATAAACAAAATTCATTCTCACCATTTTAATTCAACCCAAATCGGGGGCATATCCCTTCAAATTTGGAAAAATATTGTTGCTTGGTTGCATATCCATGGAACTGAATACTATTTGAGATTAATCCGTGGTGCCATATCATCCTCTCCATTCCATCATAGTATTTCCCCAAATCAACTTGGAATTTCTAGGCCGTGGTTAAACCAGCAAAAGAGAAAAGCCATATCGGCTCCATAGATGTTTGAAGGATGATAGTGTGGCGGCGATGGTGTTGAGGTAATATTGTTGTGGCGGGGGAGGGATTGTTAAACTGCTTAATGATTTAAATGAAAATAGTTATAAAAAAATTACTAAATTAACTAAATTAAAATTGATGATGTGGCACGTGACATGACAATCCATGTTATATGCCATATCAGTTGGTAACCAAAAGTTGGTATATAAGTTGATACCCGTAGCGCTACTGTTTAAATTTATGATTTCTGAAAGGGGTGTTCTATAAAGTTTTTAATTTGTAATTCGAAACAAATTGAGGCAAATCATGTGTATCGTATCAAATTTTGAAAATAGTAATTTGAAACATATTGAGGCATTTTGTTGAACACATTGTGCTCGGAAGACATAAAGCGAGACCCGACAAACGTGAACCCGGGCAGGGGCAAACCAATGTGGTCCCAGCCCTTCCCCCTCCCTACTTTTATATTAAAAATAGAGGTAATTACATTTTTGGTCACTAGGTTTATGATCGAATTTAAATTTGGTCACTGAAATTTTAATTTTTTGATTTTGGTCACTGGGGTTAGAGCATATCAAATCCAATTGACCCATTCCATCAATTAAGACGCATGTGGGGAATGCATGCAGGGGCACAATTGAAACTCCACCATTTAAACAATTATTAAATTAAAAAAAACAAAGCAAAAAAATAAATAAATAACTAATAAAGAACAATTAAATGGGCTGGGTTTGTTCGAACCCAAAAACCCCCTCTCTCTTCCCTTTCTCTCTTTTCCCTTTCTGTTTCTTCCCCAACTCTCCCTCTAGGGGTTTTGTTTGAACCCAAACCCACACCCACCTACCCTCATCATCCCACTCCAACGCAACCCACACCCATATACACTCCTCACCGCCTCTCCTTGATTTTTCCCCGGAATCACTAGTTCATCGGACTTGCCCAATCTCTTCGGAATCCATTCTCCTCCGAATTCGCACACCCACTCAACCCTACCATAGATCTACGGCGGAGGTTGGGGTGTTTCAGCTCAAAATTCCTGAGCTTTTCCTTGATGGGTTTGTGAAAATTTTCAATTTTGCTTTCTGGGTTTTGTTGAATCATCTTTTTTACTTCATGGGTGTGCAAAGGAAATGCTTAAGCTTCGTGGGTTTTTTATATCAAATGGAATTTATGGGTTTGAGGTTTTGCTTGAGAGACAGAATTTTTGAGAAATGGGACTCTGATTGTGCGAGAGGAGAGAGGGCATAGAAAGATGGGGTGGGGGAAAAGGCAATAATGCCCTTGTATGCACGCAACACGTGCCAATTAATTGCCAACTTGATTTGCTGACGAAGCTAACCTCAGTAACCAAAATCAAAAAATTAAAATTTTGATGACCAAATTTAAATTCGACCATAACCCTAGTGACAAAAAAATGTAATTACCCTTAAAAAAGATTATATATTAATATCTTTTATACAGTTCTGATCGCTTGGACCACAGCTGTTCAAGAAATTGTGGTTACGGTTCAAAAAAGTTTCTTAAAATGAGTGCAAGAATGAGTAAGTCGTTGAATTTACATCCAACGAATAGTGAACACAAATCTCTTGGGCCCCTGGAGTCCAAGAGATCGAGATTGATCTTTTATAATACTTCTAATGTTTTCTAATGTTTTCTCTTCAAGTTTACATCTTTTTTCATGTTTTAGATCAATATTCTAAAATTTTAGTATACATATTATTATTTTTTACACAAGTCCTTCAAATCTAATAGTCATTTTCACCCATTTCTCTAGATTTGTGGGTATTTATTCTCTTATTCTCCATATAATATATTATCAAGTTAATTTTTTTGTTTTTTTGTTGTTGTTGCCAAATTATCAAGTTTCAATTGGGTTCACTCCCTTAATTAAGATTGTTAATTTCTCTTCTTTTTTCTTTTTTTTTAAATTGTTTTCTCTTTGCCTATGGTTTGTTAGGGTGAGAAAAACCTCTCTCTTCTCTAAGAGAAAAAACACCCTTTGGCGCCGCACTTGGGGAGGAGGTCTTGGTTCCTCCTCACTTCCTCCCCTGGTTTCTCTTTGTACAAGTGACAAGTCTCTACTTTCCTCTCTCTTCTCTGTGAGAGTCTCCTCTCTCCCTTGTGAGAGTTCATCCTCTCCTCAGTGAGAGTTTTTTACTTTTTCTGTTTGTTTGTGTTTCTTGTCTTCTCATCTTTGCTTCCTCCCATACTTGTGAGTCGTCAGCTCCTCCCACTCCCCATGAGTGCATTTTCTTGGAGCTATGTCTCATATCTGAGTCTTTTATCCCCTCTATAGTTCTCTCTCCTTTGGCCAGCGGCTACCCTTCATTGTTGGTTCTCAATCACCACACTTTGCTCCTTGGCTCTGCGGGTACAACTTCCGTCGATCTCTTTCGGTGGCGGCATCTATCTGTGGTGTGGGGATGCGTTTAAAACTCTTGTGCGTCTTGTCCCTTGGATTATGGGAGCACGTTTTGTGCGGGTAGCTAGTTCCCCCCCATCTTCCGCCTGGACCTTTGGTATGTGTTGTTACCAGTTACTCTTTCTCGGTGATTGCGGATTTGCGATGGTGTTGCAG